ACCTCCCAGAAGATGACTACAGCTTCTGCAGGAAATCCTTTAACCACAAATTCCAACTCCCCTTCACTCCTACAGCCTCAGTCACACATCTCAAAGGGCTGATCCCTTGAATTGTGACAACCTGACCCACATCAGCAGCCCAGAGGCCATATGGCAACATACGTCTTTCCAGCCTACTGGATAGGGAAAGGGAGGGACAACCAATTGAATGATTGTGATTGAAATCCTATAATTTATGATTTGTCAATAACACTTGCCTTTTGGGGAGTTCTCTTCACCCCTTAACAAATCCTAGCAGCTATAATAAATAACTATAGACACCTAAGACACCTCTGAAGTCATTCATTGTAATGAAGAATATGGACTCTCTGGAGTAGAGACATCCTCTATATCAGAGCTCATGACTCTATATTAAAGACTTTAAGGGGGAAAAATCCTTTGGATTCTAAAGTTAAAAAGCTAGTATGCAAATTGGATCAGCTATGCTGGAATGAACTGAGACAGAAGTTAGAATCTAAGTACTTTTTGTTCACACCACAAAGTGACATTATTGGATATGTTATCCCTGCAGTCACTAAACCACACTGATCAAACAGCATCTGAGTTTTGATAAATCAAGTCAGAGAAAGACATTTTCTTGAAACACAGCTCTTAGGGTGAAAATGGGTTTTATTAAACATGTACCCAAATTCCTACACTTAACTCCCTCAAAAACATCCCTTTCTTGAGCTCATTTCCTAGCAAGTGATGCATCCTGGCTCAGTGTAAAGAGGAAGTAGGATGGAAAGTCCTGAGTTACAGACCAGGGTCTTTACTCTTGTATTTAGCAGTCATACAACACTAGAACTCCTGGTCCTCACCTACAGTGTGAAAGAGCTACATTACCTCATGGCCAAGAAAGGTCTCATCTAGTTCAAGTCACCTAAGTAATAAGGAACTACCAACTCCAAAACTAATTGCTGTAACATTTGAACAATTCTAAAGATGAAAATAAAATTTTTCTTAAAGTTTTCACTCATGTACCTGAGTTCCACCTACCCTTGTACCACACAGCTTGAGCAAAACAGCCACCCACATAACTGAAGACAGATACTGTGCCATCCATTCATGGCCCATCCATCCACCAATCCATCTAAGCCTTTTCTCTTTTCTACTTATCCACCTAATCATGGAATTTGTTTCCTTTAGAATACATATTAAGTTGTCCATAGCCTTATTGAACTGAATTGAACTGTGACCACCAGGAGTAAATGAAATACTACAGAAATAATCTGACATGTGCCAAATAAAGAGGACCACCACGGACTGAGTTCTGGTCACTATGCTCCTTTTAACATAGTCTACCATTGCACTGTCTGCTGGCTGTCTTATCATTGCCACTGTCACAACAAAACTTCTTTACTTGTGAATCTGCAACACTCTTATGAAATGTATTTTGGAACCAAAGTCAGATTTTTACTTTTGTTTCTGTAAAATTCATTCTATAACATTTCAACCACTGGTACTTCATGCCAAAAATCTTCTTTGATTTTTACTCTTAAAAATATCTGCCATCTTTTTACATATCCATCCAAGTTATTGATGAAATACACTAACTATAACAGTTTTCAAAGTCAGTCGTGGAACATGCCACCAGAGATTCCCCTCCACAGTGATATGAATCTGCAAGATTTGGGTCTTCTGACCACTAAAATTCCACATCTTTGTGTGCCTGTCCTTGTCACTCTTTGTATTTACCTTCTGTGCTCTCATCCACAATGATCTAGTCTTTTAGTTGCTTTTGTAATGATTTCCATAGGTAAGTTTGCTCTGGACCTGCGGGGTGGGGGACATATTGAAAAAAAAAGACAACTATAGGAAAAGCTGGGAAAAGAGGAGGAAAATTCCAAGGAGCATGAGGTGGTGGAAATAGGAACCTTGGTGACCTGGGATTAAGTCCTCCTTGCTCACCTTGTCACAATCAGTTCTCTCATCTTTGAAATAGGGATAATAACAATGACCTCACAGGGTTGCTCTGAGGCAGAGAAGTAATGCATTGAAAACCTTAGCACATTCTTATCACATAGCCAGTACACAATAGAGATTAGTCTTATGATTAGCATTGTTACACCATGTCAGGATACAAAGACACAATAGCTCCTGGCACACAAAGACACTTACACCCAAAATTTAAAAAAGAAGACCTGTGTTCTGTGAGTGCTAACTGGTGTTCAAAATGAAAGAGCCAGGAGTCTATTGAAATTAGCAATGTGGACATTAAAATACTGTACTTTTTAACCTAAACAATATTGGCAACCCCCTTGTTCGCTCTTCTTTGCTCATGTTTCAGACATGGTTAACAGGACTCAAGAAAACAAAAGAGGACTCAGAAATATCCAGTGTCAAAATGAGAAGAAATAGAAATGTGAGAATAGGGCACAGACACATACATAATTGAAATAAAATACATGTTTGGTAAGTGGTAAGCCCAGCATGTGTGGAAAACCGCAACTTATATGGAGATGGCAAGTAAGGTTCTATGCACAAAGTGATGATTCAGGAGGGTCCTAAGAATGACTGAAGTTAAAGCCAAGGGACTTTCACATAGTGAGGATAGCATGTATACATTTCCAGCAGGATTGATTTCTCTAATGTGACTTTTCCACGATATTTGATGAGTAAGAGAGGAGCTTGAAGGATATGAGTGCATGCTTAATTGTGATGGGGCTTTTATGTCAAATAAAGTAATTTAGAAGACAGCACAGAGAATGACATTAAAGGCTGAAAGCTGAATTAAAAAAATGGATGAGTTGTAATATTTATTACAAACACCCAATTGACAGATGTTACAGTCCAGAACCAAAACTGTCACATAGGAGATGCAGAATAGGCCTGCATAAAGAATGCAAGTCTAAAAAGAATACACATTATGTAGCATAAGCATGGAACGTAGGAGAAAGAAAAAATAAACAGTGTGCAGACTTCTGGAAGAAAGGTACTTTGGTAGGGGATACCAAAGTATTAAACATATTAAATAACATGGACTGAGGTATTAGGGAGACATCCAAATGGAAGTATAGCTGCTTTAGCACACTAGTATAAAAATCCAAAGAGAGATCCAGGATAAGAGTCTCCTGTATGTGTTCAGGAATAGCAGGAATACTGGTTTATCTGTCTTCCTCACATACTCATCCATGCCTGCAACCAAGCTCCATTTGTCGGTTACACAGGAGGGTGCCTCAGTGCAATAACCTGGAAAACATGGCAGACTAATGGATTTTGACCAATAAACCTGCATTCCTAGTGATCACAACTTCCAACTCAAGAACTCACATTCTTGTTCCATTTTGAAAAATCAAAATTAATGTGACTATCTCCTCTCCAATTATTACGGAATCAATATTCATCTCACAGCAAGTTGTCTTATTAGCCAGAGATGATATTCATGGCTAAAAGGGGCATGAAGGTAGGCACTGAACTTGTGATGAATTTTATATATCTTCTAGAAATAAGGATCAATTTATACTTACCAGGTCAAGTAGGAGCTACAAAAACATAGGTATGGGTCTGCATACATGAACCTTTAGTAAAGACCCTTTCAGAAAATCACCAATACCACAGGGCTTATGTAAATCCAAATTTGGAGCTTGCTAAAACAAGTACACATGAGTACGTGAGGAAGTTGGGAAGTAAACACATGTCATTGGAGAAACAGAGGTGGAGATATGGGTGGATCTGGGTTTGGTTAAGAATGAATCAGACCATCCCACAGAGGGTGGCTCCTCCCTGGATGGGCTTACTGTATAAAAAGGCCATTCCCTCAGACTGCGGTACCCAGCAAGCTCCTTCAGCTGCATTCTATTCACTCTTCTTCCAAACAAGGTAAGGCGGAATAATACATTTAACTTTGCTGGATTAGTGTTAAGACAAGTGGACACCTGTATAAATATGCATCCTTAGGCAAAAGGTCTAGATATTTAGAGTTTTTTATTACTTCTCTTGTCACTATCATTAAAGGTATATATATATATATATATATATATATATATATATATATATATATATATATATATATATATATATATACACACACACATATATGAATGAATGGGTTTTATTTCCATGAGAACATTAATGCTCTCTTTTCCACTGTTGGTTTGTCCATGTTTTCATTCATTCGACAAAAATATTAAAGCCCTTCTCTTTGCCCAATGCTGCTGTCATTGTCACTGATCTTCCATCAGAGAGTTATATAAACCCATACTTTAGAAGTTTACATTTAGTTATGAAAGATATTTAGTAAACAATAAATGAGTATGTCTACTAATGACAAGAATGATGAAGAAAAATGGAGAGTCACGTAGCAGCATAATGGCAGCACAAGAGTATTGTAGATTGGATGGTCAGGGACTCCCTCTCTGGAAAATTATCTTTCCTTTTTTTTTCTTTTCTTTTCTTTTCTTTCTGATCATTGAATAAAAATTTCTGTTGACATAGAATTGTACATAATAAAGGGATATATAGTGCATATATATCTATATGATGTATAATCATAAGATCAGGAAAATTATCATACCTATTATCTTAAATATTTATAGTGTTTAAAATTTATGAGAGATGAGAATAATAAAAATCAAAACCTCTGCTTGAAGTCAAAACCTAATCAAATTTATAATCATTGATCTATGATTCTACAATGATAATATACAATAATAATCATTATTATAGAATCAATGTTACATAATTATATTCCATGATTCTTATCTTCAGACCATACTGATTCATCACTGTACCCAGACAATGCTGCATACCTAGCATTTCAAATCTATTTATTTTTGTCTCTCAGTCTACATGATCATTTCAACTCAGTGTACACTCAGATCTTACCTCTGATTATTATAAGAAAATACCACAAGTTTGCCCATTTTTCTATTGATGAACACTTGAGTCATTTCTATTATAAAGATTTTAAATGGGCTATAACATTTCTGTGCAATAATTCTCTCTCTCTCTCTCTCTCTCTGTGTGTGTGTGTGTGTGTGTGTGTGTGTGTGTGTGTGTGTGTGTGTGTGTGTGTGTGTGTTTCTGTTAGGTAGGAATACACTAGGAGTAAACTTCTGGGTCTTAGATACTACCAAACAATATTCCAAAGGACCTCTGTCAGTTTAAGCACACTCTAGTAATATGAAAGACTTCAGTTCTCCATGCCTTCATCAATATTTGATGTTATCATGTTTCTTTGACCTTTATTTTAGTCACTTGTGATTGTATTGCATCCTCACGCTATCATTGCAATTTGTCTCTTCCTAGTAATTCATGAGGTTGAATATTTATGATACATTCCTTAGCAATCTGATATTTTCTGTAAAGTGCTTCTGGGAGAGACTAATTTTTTTCTGTTGAATTGTCTGCATTTGATAGGTATTATTTTTATATTAAAAACAGAGTTTTTTATTGGTTAGATGTATTGTACATATTCTCCCATTCTGGCTTTAATGGTATCAGAAATGAACAGAGATTTCTATCTTCAGTGCCGTCCAATTTTTCAATTTCCTTTATGATTATAATATTCTGTCTATTGAGACAAGGTCTCACTATGTAGTTCACTGGCCTGAAACTTTCAGTGTAGCCGTGTGGTCCTCCTGCCTCAGTCAGTATTTCCTGTCCCAAAGGCTTAAATATATTCTCCAATGTAATCTTTTGTATTGCTGAGTCTACTGAAAACATTTTTTTCCTGCACTTTAATCTAATTAACCCAGAACCAATTACTCAATAGGCTATCTATCCTTGGATCAAGAGATGGCTTAGTTAGTAAAGTGTTTCCCATGCAAGCATGAGAACTCGAGTTAAACCCCAGAAATTATGTGAAACATACTCTGGCATAGAGACCCATGCCTGTAACCATGCTGGGAGGCAGACAAAAGCAGACAGATCCTGGGCTCACTGATTAGCTAGCCTAGTCTACTCAGAGAGCCCCCAATTGTTCTACTTCCAAACTTAACGAATAGGTTTTCTGATGTTAAGGCGAATGAATTTGGGGATAAAACTTGCTTAGATTTGATATTAGCTTGTGTATTCTTATTTGTTTAACACTGGGATATGTTTACCAACCTTTCATTCATATTTTTGCATGTGTATTTATGAAATAGTCCCAAAATTTTTGTGTTATGACGTGATGCTAGACTCACAAATAAGTGCTTTTCTCTTTTTCACTCTCTAAAGAAATCTCTGTGATGTTAGTATGATTTCTTTCCAAGAACTTTAATAGAATTCACCAACTGAAGTCATTTGACTAACAGCTTCTCCCCGACTAGAACCTATATTCATTTAAGATGCAATTGACTTTATTAGATGCTTTCATGGTGGAACATTATCTCTGTTGCTTCTCTAAATTTGCTATTTCATTAATGTCAGTTACCTTATTTTTCCTTCATTATACTATCAGCCTTAATTTCTTGTTCTCATTCAAACTTCTTGAGAAGTATGCTTATTAATTTTTTTATCCTCTCTTTAAAAACTGCATTTATTTAAGCTATAAAAAACCACTAGACATGGAGTTAATAAATCCAACCCACTTTATTAGGTTAAATAACTCAACCTATTATAGAAATGCTGAAAGATATTAGTATTACCATTTTATTATATCAATATACACTAAATTTTTTCTGTGTATCAATTCTTTCATTATTCCTCATTCTTTACTGCTTCTCTGTGTTCCCAAGTAGGATTATACTTTAATATTTTTATTATAGTATCTGCCTCATGATGAGTTCTTTTTGAATTTGAGCATAAACCATAGAAAACTATCATGATCTTTATAGTTCTACAGTACCAACACCCCCACCACACAAGCACACTAGCTATCTTTGTTCTCAAAAGAAGGGTTAATCTAAAACAATCAAATAAACTATTGTACAAAGTAGCATTTTAGTAAACAATCAATTTGATCATTTTCTGACAAAAATCTTCATTCTATCACATTTAAGTAAAATGAAACAATGTTCCACTATTTAAAGATTCTACCTGACCCATATCTAGATCTCTCACATTAACTTTCATGAATCGTGGATTTTGTTTTCCCCTTCATTTTGAATGCTTCATAAGGCTTAAATTCAGTTCTTTCAGGAGATAAAAATAAGCTTGCTAAACTATATATAAATAAATCACAACAAAAATCAGGAAACACATTTCGTTTTGTATGAAAGTCCAAGGTCCATAATGATTTAGTTCAGAATATAAACCATATTTGACAAATTTATGTTCCCTATAGTATTTTGGTTTTGCCTGTTATGTAAACCTAAAAATCATCATTGTAATGCTTTTATATAATGAATAATTATTTCATTGATTGATATGCCTACTAATTTCTGGTCACTAAGTAAACAAGCAACTGAGCTTGTTATTACCTGGCCAAGAAGAATATTCAGTTCACCAAGAGGGACTATGTTGCAGAGAGCACACCGACATCTAGTAGTTTAAGAATCTACTATCGTGAATATATTTAAAGCCCCAAAATAGGCAGGGTCAGTTCACAAAGTTACTCAATATTTTACTTTGTAGATGATAGGGAGAAGTTGTTCATAAATAAGTTTCATTTCAAAAATGCACTATTTAAGGAAAACTATGGGATTAAAATCTAACTAATCATTACAATAATAAATACAACCTATGAAATAAAACTAAAAAAGAAAATGGATTTTGTTTCACTTTAACAGGTACATATATACTGCTGAAAGATGTCCACTCTCCTGGAAAACATCACTGGCATGATTGAAACATTCCAGCAATACTCAAACAACGATAAAGAAACAGAAACACTGAGCAAAGAAGAGCTGAAGGAACTTCTGGAAGTAGAATTACGGGCAGTCTTGAAGGTAACAACCAGACAAAATAACCAAGGAGAGCACACTTTCTGTGACTTAAAAACAATGCAACCTAAGATTGTATAAAACCTTATTTAACTACTTTATTTGTAAATGAAATAGGCAGCCATGAATTTATTTGGAAAGAATTTAAATGTGTGCCAACATGTTTTTCATAGGGAGATGACATATGTGAAAAATAAATACTATCCATATTTAATAACAAAAATATGAAAGTAACTTAATTTTTCACAGTATTTTTCCCATCATCAAGAATATTAGTGGGGTATACTTTGAAAAAAATTAAATAATGAAATGAATAAAATTCAGACTCATGAAATGAGGAAAAGAGTAACTGACAACAGGAAAAAATTCAGGATTTCTAGCTGATCTTTAAACATTATTTTATACACTACCAACACATGTGAAACAAAAATAGAATAATATACAAATATGACAAATGAAAAAAATGTAAATGACTTGACACAAATGTTTGTTGCAAGACGTAAATTTACATTGAATTTGAATTATAAAGTTGAAATTAGTTGGTAAGAAGGACAATCTCTATAATTCTTACAGAATCCAGATGATGAAAATCTTGCAGATGTCTTCATGCAAATCCTAGATGTAGACCATAATGAAAAAATAGATTTCACTGAGTATTTACTGATGGTGGTGAAGTTGGCTCAAGCATATTATGAGTCATCTCAGAACAAAAGTTTTGAAACTGGATCAAAGAGACGGAGTAAAAGTCATCACAAAAGAGTAGGAGAAGATGGAGAAGAAGAGGAAGAAAGAAGACACAGGTCAAGCCATAGGAGATCTGAGGGAAAGGAAAAGAAAGAAAGCTCAAGAAGCCCAAGAGGGAGAGGGAAAAAAAGACATGGATCAGGCAGTAAAAATCAGGATAGGGACACAACTACGCACAGAGAAACAGAAAAACATGGGAAACATCACAGGTCAACTGGAAAGCAACGGGGAGGATCTAACTCGACTGAAAGAGATGGTAGAGGTAAGAAGGAGAGAAGATCAAAGGAGAGAAAACAAACAAAATATGAAGCCATAAATAATGAAAACACAAAACAACAAGAACAGTGGGAAAAAAGCTGTGGTGAATATTATTATGAAATTGAGCATAGCAAAAGTGAAGAGAGAAAAGGAAAAAGAAAATCTAAGAGTGAAAAATCTGGCCGAGAACAGTCTCGAGACAGCCCTAGGCAGTCCCGGTCCCGTCAGAGGAGCGAGTCTCCACGGACAAGCACAAGAACAGGCCACCGAGGAACACACCAGTCCCCAGGCGGCCAGCAGTCATCCGATGGTCACAGGCAAGCCACTTCCAGGGGGGGCAGACACCAGGAGAACAGCGCCAGCCAGGCCAGTGACAGCGAGGGCCACTCAGAAGTCGAAGTCGGCCACAGCCAGGCCTCAGGGACCCACGGGAGGACCGGGTCCGGCTCAGGGGTCCAGCGGGCATCCCGCAGCGGTGGCCAGGCAGCTGACAACGTCAGGCACTCGGGGGCCCGTCAAGGCCAGGCATCCGGCCAGGGCCAAGGACGGTCCCAGTCAGGATCCCGCACCAGGGAAGCACGAGGGAACCAGAGACACGGCCAGTCGGCTGACAGCTCCGGGACCTCCGGGACTGCTCACAGACGAGGCCAAGCCACCTCTGCTGAACGCAGACATCAGAGTCCCAGCGAGAGTCAGGCCAGCGACAGCGAAGGCCACTCCGAAGTCTCAGAAGGCCACGCAGTGGGAGCCCACCGTGGGTCTGGGGCCAGCCAGAGGCACGAGCAGACATCCTCTCGAGGCCAGCATGCCTCTGGACACTACCAGGTGTACTACTACGAGCAGGAACACCCCGAGTCTGGACACAGACAGCAGAGGTCCAGCGGCAGGGCTCCTCAGGGGTCCGGCCCAGAACAAGGAAGGGACAGCCGCAGGATCGGGGGCTCTCACGAAGGACAGAGCTCCTCTGAACTCCAGGCTAGAGCCTCCCGAGGAAGGTCCGGAACCAGTGCTAGAGGTGGCCAGGGGTCCCTGGCAACCGACGGCTCTGAGCACCACCAGTCCACAAGGGGCCAGGAAGACATCCACGGAGGCTCTGGACGCTCAGGAACAAGGCAAGGACAGGTAGACTCCCACACTGGGAACCACACCTCCCACGGTCAGGAAGAGGGCAGAGGCAGGGCAAGCAGGCACCCAGCCGGCCGAGAAAAATCTCCAGACAGCCCTAGGCAGTCTCGGTCCCGTCAGAGGAGCGAGTCTTCAGGGACAAGCAAAAGAACAGGCACCCGAGGAACACACCAGTCCCCAGGCGGCCAGCAGTCATCCGATGGTCACAGGCAAGCCACTTCCAGGGGGGGCAGACACCAGAAGAACAGCGCCAGCCAGGCCAGTGACAGCGAGGGCCACTCAGAAGTCGAAGTCGGCCACAGCCAGGCCTCAGGGACCCACGGGAGGACCGGGTCCGGCTCAGGGGTCCAGCGGGCATCCCGCAGCGGTGGCCAGGCAGCTGACAACGTCAGGCACTCGGGGGCCCGTCAAGGCCAGGCATCCGGCCAGGGCCAAGGACGGTCCGAGTCAGGATCCCGCACCAGGGAAGCACGAGGGAACCAGAGACACGGCCAGTCGGCTGACAGCTCCGGGACCTCCGGGACTGCTCACAGACGAGGCCAAGCCACCTCTGCTGAACGCAGACATCAGAGTCCCAGCGAGAGTCAGGCCAGCGACAGCGAAGGCCACTCCGAAGCCTCAGAAGGCCACGCAGTGGGAGCCCACGCTGGGTCTGGGGCCAGCCAGAGGCACGAGCAGACATCCTCTCGAGGCCAGCATGGCTCTGGACACTACCAGGTGTACTACTACGAGCAGGAACACCCCGAGTCTGGACACAGACAGCAGAGGTCCAGCGGCAGGGCTCCTCAGGGGTCCGGCCCAGAACAAGGAAGGGACAGCCGCAGGATCGGGGGCTCTCACGAAGGACAGAGCTCCTCTGAACTCCAGGCTAGAGCCTCCCGAGGAAGGTCCGGAACCAGTGCTAGAGGGGGCCAGGGGTCCCTCGCAACCGACGGCTCTGAGCACCACCAGTCCACAACGGGCCACGAAGACATCCACGGAGGCTCTGGACGCTCAGGAACAAGGCAAGGACAGGTAGACTCCCACACTGGGAACCACACCTCCCACGGTCAGGAAGAGGGCAGAGGCAGGGCAAGCAGGCACCCAGCCGGCCGAGAACAGTCTCCAGACAGCCCTAGGCAGTCCCGGTCCCGTCAGAGGAGCGAGTCTCCACGGACAAGCACAAGAACAGGCCCCCAAGGAACACACCAGTCCCCAGGCGGCCAGCAGTCATCCGATGGTCACAGGCAAGCCACTTCCAGGGGGGGCAGACACCAGGAGAACAGCGCCAGCCAGGCCAGTGACAGCGAGGGCCACTCAGAAGTCGAAGTCGGCCACAGCCAGGCCTCAGGGACCCACGGGAGGACCGGGTCCGGCTCAGGGGTCCAGCGGGCATCCCGCAGCGGTGGCCAGGCAGCTGACAACGTCAGGCACTCGGGGGCCCGTCAAGGCCAGGCATCCGGCCAGGGCCATGGACGGTCCGAGTCAGGATCCCGCACCAGGGAAGCACGAGGGAACCAGAGACACGGCCAGTCGGCTGACAGCTCCGGGACCTCCGGGACTGCTCACAGACGAGGCCAAGCCACCTCTGCTGAACGCAGACATCAGAGTCCCAGCGAGAGTCAGGCCAGCGACAGCGAAGGCCACTCCGAAGCCTCAGAAGGCCACGCAGTGGGAGCCCACGCTGGGTCTGGGGCCAGCCAGAGGCACGAGCAGACATCCTCTCGAGGCCAGCATGCCTCTGGACACTACCAGGTGTACTACTACGAGCAGGAACACCCCGAGTCTGGACACAGACAGCAGAGGTCCAGCGGCAGGGCTCCTCAGGGGTCCGGCCCAGAACAAGGAAGGGACAGCCGCAGGATCGGGGGCTCTCACGAAGGACAGAGCTCCTCTGAACTCCAGGCTAGAGCCTCCCGAGGAAGATCCGGAACCAGTGCTAGAGGGGGGCAGGGGTCCCTCGCAACAGACGGCTCTGAGCACCACCCGTCCACAAGGGACCACGAAGACATCCATGGAGGCTCTGGACGCTCGCGAACAAGGCAAGGACAGGTAGACTCCCACACTGGGAACCACACCTCCCACGGTCAGGAAGAGGGCAGAGGCAGGGCAAGCAGGCACCCAGCCGGCCGAGAACAGTCTCCAGACAGCCCTAGGCAGTCCCGGTCCCGTCAGAGGAGCGAGTCTCCACGGACAAGCACAAGAACAGGCCACCAAGGAACACACCAGTCCCCAGGCGGCCAGCAGTCATCCGATGGTCACAGGCAAGCCACTTCCAGGGGGGGCAGACACCAGGAGAACAGCGCCAGCCAGGCCAGTGACAGCGAGGGCCACTCAGAAGTCGAAGTCGGCCACAGCCAGCCCTCAGGGACCCACGGGAGGACCGGGTCCGGCTCAGGGGTCCAGCGGGCATCCCGCAGCGGTGGCCAGGCAGCTGACAACGTCAGGCACTCGGGGGCCCGTCAAGGCCAGGCATCCGGCCAGGGCCAAGGACGGTCCCAGTCAGGATCCCGCACCAGGGAAGCACGAGGGAACCAGAGACACGGCCAGTCGGCTGACAGCTCCGGGACCTCCGGGACTGCTCACAGACGAGGCCAAGCCACCTCTGCTGAACGCAGACATCAGAGTCCCAGCGAGAGTCAGGCCAGCGACAGCGAAGGCCACTCCGAAGCCTCAGAAGGCCACGCAGTGGGAGCCCACGGTGGGTCTGGGGCCAGCCAGAGGCACGAGCAGACATCCTCTCGAGGCCAGCATGGCTCTGGACACTACCAGGTGTACTACTACGAGCAGGAACACCCCGAGTCTGGACACAGACAGCAGAGGTCCAGCGGCAGGGCTCCTCAGGGGTCCGGCCCAGAGCAAGGAAGGGACAGCCGCAGGATCGGGGGCTCTCACGAAGGACAGAGCTCCTCTGAACTCCAGGCTAGAGCCTCCCGAGGAAGGTCCGGAACCAGTGCTAGAGGGGGCCAGGGGTCCCTTGCAACCGACGGCTCTGAGCACCACCAGTCCACAAGGGGCCACGAAGACATCCACCGAGGCTCTGGACGCTCAGGAACAAGGCAAGCACAGGTAGACTCCCACACTGGGAACCACACCTCCCACGGTCAGGAAGAGGGCAGAGGCAGGGCAAGCAGGCACCCAGCCGGCCGAGAACAGTCTCCAGACAGCCCTAGGCAGTCCCGGTCCCGTCAGAGGAGCGAGTCTCCACGGACAAGCACAAGAACAGGCCCCCGAGGAACACACCAGTCCCCAGGCGGCCAGCTTTCATCCGATGGTCACAGGCAAGCCACTTCCAGGGGGGGCAGACACCAGGAGAACAGCACCAGCCAGGCCAGTGACAGCGAGGGCCACTCAGAAGTCGAAGTCGGCCACAGCCAGCCCTCAGGGACCCACGGGAGGACCGGGTCCGGCTCAGGGGTCAAGCGGGCATCCCGCAGAGGTGGCCAGGCAGCTGACAATGTCAGGCACTCGGGGGCCCGTCAAGGCCAGGCATCGAGCCAGGGCCAAGGACGGTCCGAGTCAGGATCCCGCACCAGGGAAGCACGAGGGAACCAGAGACACGGCCAGTCGGCTGACAGCTCCGGGACCTCCGGGACTGCTCACAGACGAGGCCATGCCACCTCTGCTGAACGCAGACATCAGAGTCCCAGCGAGAGTCAGGCCAGCGACAGCGAAGGCCACTCCGAAGCCTCAGAAGGCCACGCAGTGGGAGCCCACGGTGGGTATGGGGCCAGCCAGAGGCACGAGCAGACATCCTCTCGAGGCCAGCATGCCTCTGGACACTACCAGGTGTACTACTACGAGGAGGAACACCCCGAGTCTGGACACAGACAGCAGAGGTCCAGCGGCAGGGCTCCTCAGGGGTCCGGCCCAGAACAAGGAAGGGACAGCCGCAGGATCGGGGGCTCTCACGAAGGACAGAGCTCCTCTGAACTCCAGGCTAGAGCCTCCCGAGGAAGGTCCGGAACCAGTGCTAGAGGGGGGCAGGGGTCCCTCGCAACAGACGGCTCTGAGCACCACCAGTCCACAAGGGGCCACGAAGACATCCATGGAGGCTCTGGACGCTCGCGAACAAGGCAAGGACAGGTAGACTCCCACACTGGGAACCACACCTCCCACGGTCAGGAAGAGGGCAGAGGCAGGGCAAGCAGGCACCCAGCCGGCCAAGAACAGTCTCCAGACAGCCCTAGGCAGTCTCGGTCCCGTCAGAGGAGCGAGTCTCCACGGACAAGCACAAGAACAGGTCCCCGAGGAACACACCAGTCCCCAGGCGGCCAGCAATCATCCGATGGTCACAGGCAAGCCACTTCCAGGGGGGGCAGACACCAGGAGAACAGCACCAGCCAGGCCAGTGACAGCGAGGGCCACTCAGAAGTCGAAGTCGGCCACAGTCAGGCCTCAGGGACCCACGGAAGGACCGGGTCCGGCTCAGGGGTCCAGCGGGCATCCCGCAACGGTGGCCAGGCAGCTGACAACGTCAGGCACTCGGGGGCCCGTCAAGGCCAGGCATCCGGCCAGGGCCAAGGACGGTCCGAGTCAGGATCCCACACCACGGAAGCACGAGGGAACCAGAGACACGGCCAGTCGGCTGACAGCTCCGGGACCTCCGGGACTGCTCACAGACGAGGCCAAGCCACCTCTGCTGAACGCAGACATCAGAGTCCCAGCGAGAGTCAGGCCAGCGACAGCGAAGGCCACTCCGAAGCCTCAGAAGGCCACGCAGTGGGAGCCCACGGTGGGTCTGGGGCCAGCCAGAGGCACGAGCAGACATCCTCTCGAGGCCAGCATGGCTCTGGACACTACCAGGTGTACTACTACGAGCAGGAACACCCCGAGTCTGGACACAGACAGCAGAGGTCCAGCGGCAGGGCTCCTCAGGGGTCCGGCCCAGAACAAGGAAGGGACAGCCGCAGGATCGGGGGCTCTCACGAAGGACAGAGCTCCTCTGAACTCCAGGCTAGAGCCTCCCGAGGAAGGTCCGGAACCAGTGCTAGAGGGGGCCAGGGGTCCCTTGCAACCGACGGCTCTAAGCATCACCAGTCCACAAGGGGCCACGAAGACATCCACGGAGGCTCTGGACGCTCGCGAACAAGGCAAGGACAGGTAGACTCCCACACTGGGAACCACACCTCCCACGGTCAGGAAGAGGGCAGAGGCAGGGCAAGCAGGCACCCAGCCGGCCGAGAACAGTCTCCAGACAGCCCTAGGCAGTCCCGGTCCCGTCAGAGGAGCGAGTCTCCACGGACAAGCACAAGAACAGGCCACCGAGGAACACACCAGTCCCCAGGCGGACAGCAGTCATCCGATGGTCACAGGCAAGCCACTTCCAGGGGGGGCAGACACCAGGAGAACAGCGCCAGCCAGGCCAGTGACAGCGAGGGCCACTCAGAAGTCGAAGTCGGCCACAGCCAGCCCTCAGGGACCCACGGGAGGACCGGGTCCGGCTCAGGGGTCCAGCGGGCATCCCGCAACGGTGGCCAGGCAGCTGACAACGTCAGGCACTCGGGGGCCCGTCAAGGCCAGGCATCCGGCCAGGGCCAAGGACGGTCCCAGTCAGGATCCCGCACCAGGGAAGCACGAGGGAACCAGAGACACGGCCAGTCGGCTGACAGCTCCGGGACCTCCGGGACTGCTCACAGACGAGGCCAAGCCACCTCTGCTGAACGCAGACATCAGAGTCCCAGCGGGAGTCAGGCCAGCGACAGCGAAGGCCACTCCGAAGCCTCAGAAGGCCACGCAGTGGGAGCCCACGCTGGGTCTGGGGCCAGCCAGAGGCACGAGCAGACATCCTCTCGAGGCCAGCATGGCTCTGGACACTACCAGGTGTACTACTACGAGCAGGAACACCCCGAGTCTGGACACAGACAGCAGAGGTCCAGCGGCAGGGCTCCTCAGGGGTCCGGCCCAGAACAAGGAAGGGACAGCCGCAGGATCGGGGGCTCTCACGAAGGACAGAGCTCCTCTGAACTCCAGGCTAGAGCCTCCCGAGGAAGGTCCGGAACCAGTGCTAGAGGGGGCCAGGGGTCCTTCGCAACCGACGGCTCTGAGCACCACCAGTCCACAAGGGGCCACGAAGACATCCACGGAGGCTCTGGACGCTCAGGAACAAGGCAAGGACAGGTAGACTCCCACACTGGGAACCACACCTCCCACGGTCAGGAAGAGGGCAGAGGCAGGGCAAGCAGGCACCCAGCCGACCGAGAACAGTCTCCAGACAGCCCTAGGCAGTCCCGGTCCCGTCAGAGGAGCAAGTCTCCAGGGACAAGCACAAGAACAGGCCCCCGAGGAACACACCAGTCCCCAGGCGGCCAGCTTTCATCCGATGGTCACAGGCAAGCCACTTCCAGGGGGGGCAGACACCAGGAGAACAGCACCAGCCAGGCCAGTGACAGCGAGGGCCACTCAGAAGTCGAAGTCGCCCACAGCCAGCCCTCAGGGACCCACGGGAGGACCGGGTCCGGCTCAGGGGTCCAGCGGGCATCCCGCAGCGGTGGCCAGGCAGCTGACAATGTCAGGCACTCGGGGGCCCATCAAGGCCAGGCATCGAGCCAGGGCCAAGGACGGTCCGAGTCAGGATCCCGCACCAGGGAAGCACGAGGGAACCAGAGACACGGCCAGTCGGCTGACAGCTCCGGGACCTCCAGGACTGCTCACAGACGAGGCCATGCCACCTCTGCTGAACGCAGACATCAGAGTCCCAGCGAGAGTCAGGCCAGCGACAGCGAAGGCCACTCCGAAGCCTCAGAAGGCCACGCAGTGGGAGCCCACGGTGGGTCTGGGGCCAGCCAGAGGCACGAGCAGACATCCTCTCGAGGCCAGCATGGCTCTGGACACTACCAGGTGTACTACTACGAGCAGGAACACCCCGAGTCTGGACACAGACAGCAGAGGTCCAGCGGCAGGGCTCCTCAGGGGTCCGGCCCAGAACAAGGAAGGGACAGCCGCAGGATCGGGGGCTCTCACGAAGGACAGAGCTCCTCTGAACTCCAGGCTAGAGCCTCCCGAGGAAGGTCCGGAACCAGTGCTAGAGGGGGCCAGGGGTCCCTCGCAACCGACGGCTCTGAGCACCACCAGTCCACAAGGGGCCACGAAGACATCCACGGAGGCTCTGGACGCTCGCGAACAAGGCAAGGACAGGTAGACTCCCACACTGGGAACCACACCTCCCACGGTCAGGAAGAGGGCAGAGGCAGGGCAAGCAGGCACCCAGCCGACCGAGAACAGTCTCCAGACAGCCCTAGGCAGTCCCGGTCCCGTCAGAGGAGCGAGTCTCCACGGACAAGCACAAGAACAGGCCACCGAGGAACACACCAGTCCCCAGGCGGCCAGCAGTCATCCGATGGTCACAGGCAAGCCACTTCCAGGGGGGGCAGACACCAGGAGAACAGCACCAGCCAGGCCAGTGACAGCGAGGGCCACTCAGAAGTCGAAGTCGGCCACAGCCAGGCTTCAGGGACCCACGGGAAAACCGGGTCCAGCTCCGGGGTTCAGCGGACCTCCCGGGGTGTCCAATTAGTAGATAATTCAAGTGATACTCCAAAACACCTTGAGTTTAGTATGTCACAGAGATATTATTACTATCAATGAACAAGTAGTTTAAGTGAGATAGAAACGGTAGTGCCCTACAAAACCATATCATTCTTGAACGTAGGTCTTACATTGTATTTTTGTGGATAATGGTTTCCTGGGGTTGTTTTTTTTTTAGTCTTTTTTTTCTTGTCTTTTGCTTTTGTTTTGTTTTGTCATTTAAAATTTTAATTTTTCCCTAATTGGTGGTAGTTTCTTCTCATTTTATTAATAATTTTAAAAATGTTTCACAATTTATTACCTAGGACATTCCATGTTATGGAGAATTTATTTTTAGTAGTAGGAATATTTGGTGCAAGAGTAAGTTCATTTACCTTGAAAGATTTTATTTTCAATCAACTGAATATTGGATATTAATTTTTGCCAAAACCTTGTAAGAAAGCCCAAAGTCTAAGACCAGTCTTTTGGAGGCCCTAGCCGTCTCTCTGCAATCAGTGTTCAAAATGCATAACCAATTTTCCACTTCATTGAATCATTGAAATCAATCGAAGCAATCATTGAAATCATATTGGACATATGGAATTCAACATGCTAAACTGTATGATAATTGGAAATAAACAATTGGCTGTCTAATATTGTTTGCCTCTTTCATGTTTTCTTTTCATAAATTCAAAGACTTCTTTCTGTATGTCAGAACTGCATCCTCCAAACTTTATAGAAAGCTGGATAACCATATAGAAATATCTGCTTTTCAATGATTAATAATTTAAAATTAAAAATATACCCATATATTTCCCTAATGGGATTGCTGCTCCATAGTAGTACCTTACAAAGCAAAATAGCTTGTTCAAAATAGGAAATCATTTATTCATGTAGTAATTATCTCTATCAAGCCAAGATCACAAATAGGAATCTTTGAAGAAAAAATAAAGTTCTTCCTTCCAAAGAACATGGCACTTAATGTTTCTAGTGACAACCAATGGGAGCAGAGTCAAGGTCCTGGTGTACATTTACAGAGGGAAGGAAAAAACACAGCCACATTTATCATTAGGAATGGGTCAGGAGAGAGAAAGGAACCAAGTAAGATGTGCACAAAATCACTTCAGTAAAAGGGATATCTTTCCATCTGAACTGTACTTGGATTTTACTTCCCAAAATATCAAACTGGGGAGATCCATAGGCACATATCCTCAATTTGCAGATGAGTTTATCACACAAATAACTTCTCTCAAGACAAGCAGATATCCAAGTTTTGTGTTTGGTGGTTTTATAAAACGTTCACATAAGAGCTACCTTTCTTGAACCTTTACTGAAATAAATCAAACTCAAGATGAAGTGAAACTGTCAAAATTTCAATGATCTTCAATGGAGAAAGGTATTGAATCAAAGTCAGCAAGCAAGTTCCTTGTTTTAATTAGCCTTGTTTCATGTTTCTATTGGCTTCCACAAGCCCCAGATGGTGGTACTCCCCTCCATGCAATGCTGTCCCCATATAAAACTATAAAACTGCATATTCCTTAATTTGCCAGAACTGATAACTTAGCAGTGCTGCCACAGACAGTCTATCCAGCTCCTTCAAGCAACCCTTCTATACATTTAGTTAGGCCTACATATGGGGTTAGGAGTAAAACACTGCGAGTTAACAGTACAGACCTGGCTTGACCAAGGTGGATGTACTGATGGGCAATACAACAGAGACAGATAGATATGTGTTCTCTACAAAAATAAACTCTCATTTTCTGACAGACCCACAGCCAACTGAAATTACTTTCTTTTGTATTCCTGGTCACTCAAAGGACAGAATTACCAGAACATCCTTTTGTCAGCTGACAGAAAATCAGCTTACCCATTTGGATGAAACAAGGTTCACTAGAAACATAAGCTTTTCTCTGTTCTCTTGTTTCCTCATGACACGTTTGCCCCTCTTCTTAGGTGACTAACTCTTATAACAAAATTAGAGGGTCACAAAGACCTAGTAGGTTCACGGAAAACACTTAGAATTGAACCTGGCACATAGTAAGCACTCAATAAATGTTTGTCATTTGGGCAGGGCGGTGGTGGTGCACGCCTTTAATCCCAGCACTCGGGAGGCAGAGGCAGGTGGATCTCTGAATTTGAGGCCAGCCTGGGCTATACAGTGAGTTCCAGGAAAAGGCACAAAGCTAAATAGAGAAACCCTGTCTCGAAAAACAAAACAACAAAAACAAAACAAAAAAATTGTCATTTGGGGCAAAGTTTTAGGCATGAGTTAAGTAACAAGATGAAGAATAAAATATTGAGAAAATATACCATTAAAGGTCTGCCCATAGTTAAATAACAAGTATGTGGTAGGTAGAAGATTTGAAACCTGGAAACACACTGCTCAGTAGTAGTTTCTAGCATGTATATACCCTGAATTTAATCCCCTGCACAAGAAAACAATAGTAAAAACAAACCAAACATAAATTTATCTGAAGATAATTTCTTTGTGCTAGGCATGGTGGTGTTTGCCTGTGATGCAGTACTTTGGAGGCAGAAGTAAAGATAGTATGTTCAAGGCTAGTCTGGACAATATTACAAAGCTCCAGGCCATCAGAAGATATACATGGATGATATCCTGCCTCAAATTAAAGAAAATAAAGATAAAAAGATTTCCAAAGCTAATTCTGTCTTTCAAGTCATACTTCTATCACTAAGAAGTATTATCAAATAGCCCAGAAAAATCAAACAAAGAGAAAAATAAAATACAGCCATTTTTGGTATCTTGAAATCTGTGATACAAGAAAAAGCCATTTCCTTAGAGGGGCAGTGATATGAAGAAATTATTGGAAATGTTAGTAATGAATGGTTTCCAATGAACCAGACACAATAATATAGACTACTTCTATGAGGAAGCAAAAAAAAAAAAAAAAAAACCCTACTACCTAACCAAATCATCCAGGTTTTCCACATCCATCACAGTGCTGGCCTGTGAGGATTTGTGGAGTGAGGCTAGGGAAGGTAGTTTTCAGGAGCTACCTTCTAAGAATTAACAAGAGACCAGATCATGGATGGAACATTGTAAACCAGAGTTCAAGGCTGGACTTCCCTTCCCCAAATTTCTTAAAAATAAATAGCACTTTTAAATAGCATGTTTTGAGTATACAATTCAATGCATTGATGTAAGTATACAATGTGAAATAATCACTATGTTCTAGCTAAGTTTAAGATATCAATTATCTCACATAGTTACCTTTTGCAGGTGTGTATATGATGGGGACACTTGAGATCTAGCCTCTTAACAAGTTCCAAAACACAACACATAATTATTGACTATAGTTAATTGTGCATTGTCTACAGTCATCACTCTTCTGGTAACAGAAGGGTTTAATCCTTTGTTCAACAGATATTTTTTCATACACTCTCACTCCTGGTAGCCACTATTCTACTCACTTTGATTTTATGAGTTTGACTTTTCTTTAGATTGCATATATGTGAATCATGCAATATTTATCTTTCTGTTGACTTAGAATTATGCCCTCAGGGTTCACCTATATTGCTCCAAATCACAAATCTCCCTTAATCTTAAGGCTGACTAATATTTCCTTGTGTATACAATCAGACATCCATTAACAACAAGGATATATTTTGAAAAATACCTCGTTAAGTAACTCTGCCATTATATTAACATCGCAGAGTATACAACACAAACCTAAATGGTATAGATCAACCACTTCATATGGCCTGTTGAGGCAATCAAGTAAACATGAAACATATAAGGTGTTGCCAACATTATATGTCATACTATTTTACACTAACAATGAAAATGTGGTATGTGAAATACATACACTAGAAATACAGTCATTTATTATCATTATAAGGTATTATATGCTGTGCATAATTGCATGTGTTATATTTTTGGAGGTATAGTATACATGCATGTTTATGTGGATATATGAACTCATGTGCACATGTATGTGGTGGCCAGAGGTAGTTGAGTGTCTTCCTCAATGACTGGTTTTTGTGATAGAATCTCCCACTAAAGCTAGAGCTCACCAATTAACTAGTGAGATACAGGAATCCACCTGTCTCCACTTCCCTATGCTATAACAAATCCACACTGCCCTGGTCAACTTTTACATGGATGTTCAGGATCCAAATCAAGATCCTCATGTTTGTACAGCAGGACTTTTACTACTCTGTGCTATACTTTCACATAACTGGCCAGAACATAGACCTGTTTGTACCAGTACAATCACAGACACACAAGTGATGCATTATGCTACAAAATTATGATGGCCACAATGTCACTAGGTGATAGGAAATTTTCAGTTCTATTATAATCTGACATTATTGCCACCATATATGCAATTTATGGGTATAAATAAGGAGATGGTGTCCGGAAGCCTCACTACCATGATAACCACTTACAAATAAAATGTACATATTCAGGCAAGTAGAGGACATGGGAAAAGAAATGTCTCCTGAAGACATACTATTAAGTACCACTGCCACCTACTGGCTGAACAGAGAAGGGACTGTTCATTTGGTCCATTAGTCTTTTCTCCAAACAACAAAATTGCCTTACTTGTTTAGATCATCTATCTGTTTTTTTCCCTTAGGTATGTGGCTATATGCCTCCCCCTATAATGACTAAAATATACTGAAGTTTCCCTCATCACCTCCTAACCCCCACTTAACTCTGAAGTCAGTCAGAAGAGCTTGAAGTTAGTGACATTGCAGATGGTCCAAAAACATCAGTCTGAGGCTTAGGAGTATACATAGGCACAGAAAACACAAAAGCATTATAGATGAATTGGATGGGAAGGGGACTTAGTGTGAAAAGGGAGTTAAGGATATGGGGAGAGAAGGAAAGGGGAGAGGAGAGGAGAAAGAAGAAAGGGAGGGGAGAGGAAGGGGAATGGAAGGAAAGATGAAGGAAGAAGAAATCAGTATAGGGGAAAAGGAAATTTCTCTTCAGTGTTATAGAATGAACTTCATGAGGATGTGAATTGCAATGGTCACCTCTGCAGCACAGATATTACATTTGGAAACACACAGAGAACACTAGCATAGTCCCTGCCCAAGGATGACATGGAAATTCACAAATCATTCCATATTTTTAACTAAGCTACAAATGGATTGAGGTCCTCAACACAACAGCTGATTTATTTTTAAGACAGATTCTCTTTATGTAGCCTAGGCTGCTCTGGAACTCACTCTGTAGACCAGGCTGACCTCGAACTCACAGAGATCCACCTGCCTCAGCCTCCCAAGTGCTGGGATTAAAGACGTGTACTACCAAGGTGCACCACCACTGTCAGCAGCCTCTCTTTCTGAATAGGACTCCAGCAACACAGGAAATAAAACCAAAAGTCAACACACAGGATCTCAAAAAGCAGTAAAAGCTTCTTACATCAAAGGAGACTGTCAATCAAGTGAAGAGGTAACCCACAGAACAGGAGAAAATCTTTGCCAGTTATTCATCTGACAGAGGATTGGTGTCTAGAATTTATAAATGAAACTAAACATCAAGAAAACAAACAACACAATTTTATTTTTTTTCTTTTTCTTTTCTTTTTTTTTTTTTTTTTTTTTTTTTGGTTTTTTGGTTTTTCGAGACAGGGTTTCTCTGTGTAGCTGTGCTCCTTTCCTGGATCTCGCTCTGTAGACCAGGCTGGCCTTGAACTCACAGAGATCCTCCTGCCTCTGCCTCCTGAGTGCTGGGATTAAAGGCGTGTGCCACCATCGCCCGGCTAAACAACACAATTTTAAAAATGGACTATTGAATTAAACAGAGACTTAAGAAATAAAAATGGCTAGGAAACATTTTTTTAAGTGCTCAACATCTTTAGCTATAGGGTAAATGCAAACTAAAATTACTTTAAGATTTTATCTCACCCCAATCAGAATGACCATCATAAAGAATACAAACAAACAAATAATTGCTAGTGCATGTGTGAGAAAACATTGACCCCAGCTTGGAAGTGTAAGCTAGTGCAGTTCCTTTGAAAATCAGTCTGGAGTTTTCTCAAAAGAGAAAAAAATAGAATTAACAGTACTAGATGACCCAGTGAGACCACTCATGGGCTATACCCAAAGGACTCTGTATTGTATTACAGAGATACTTGAGCATCCATGTTCATTGCTGCTCTAGTCACAATAATGAGGTGTGTTGGCTAGGGTTTTTTTTTTTTTTTTTTTTTTTTTTTGTCAGCTGGGCACAAGCTAGGGAAGAGGAACCACAATAAGGAAAGTGCCTTTAACAGACTGCCTGTAGGCAAGTCTGTAGGACATTCTCATGATTAACGATTGATGTGAGTGGGCCCAGGCCACTGGGAGCAGTGCCACCCCTGGGCAAGTTGTATAAGAAAGCAAACTGGGCAAACCATGGAAGCAAGCCAGTAAACAGTGTTCCTCCATGATGTCTGTTTCAGTTTCTGCCTCTGGGTCCTGCCTTGAGTTCCTGCCCTGACTTCTCTTTATGATGGAGTGCAACTGTTAGATGAAATAAACCCTCTCTTCCCCAAGTTGCTTTGGGTCACGGTGTTTATCACAGCAATAGAAACCTAATAAGGACACTAGAAAATGGAAGCAGCCTAAATACTCATCAACTGGTGACTAGATAATGAAAATGTGGTACATATACACAATGGAAATTTACTCAACTTTTAAAGAAAAATGAAATTTTCAGGAAAAATGGATGGAACTAGAGATGATACATGATAGACAGACAGATAGATCAACAGGAAAGAGTGAGATGGCACAAGCCCAGAAGTAGAAATGCAGCATGTTCTCTCTCATATGCAGATCCTAGCTTTTATTCTTTAGTTTTGTTTATTTAATCTGGAGTGGCTGTAGAAACCAGGAAACTAGGAAGGATACATTGAGAGAAGTGTGGCTTAAGGGAGGAGAGAGAGTAGACACAGGTAAAAGAGGAAAAAGAGTTTAAGGAGGGAAGGGGTAGGGGAAGAGGTCGTCAAAACAAGGAATGTATGAAAAGGTTATATGGAAACTTACTATCTTATAACTCAATTTAAAACCTAAGGAAGGGAGATTGAAAGTAATGCTGTTTATAGAAGCAGTGAGTTTCTAAACAAAATTCCCAGTGCAAATACCTCTATAAGAGTTATCAAGGAGGCTCCAAAGGCCTCTCAAACAATGCAGGCTCTTGCCAGTCCTTGTGTTTGCCCATCATAACTAGTGGATAAATAAGACCTTATTGCTGAAGATACCACATATTTCAGTTGCAAGATACAGAGAAATCAAGCCAATAGGTGCAATGCAGGCAGCAGTGGAAGAAAAGGCGGCAGTGGTTTCACCCAGCTGTGAACTCTATGAACAATCAGGTAAGATGTGCCCATTGGTGTACTAGTGGCATGACTATTATAGGAGCAAACCAACCACTCCCTAGCCAGATTTGAAGCCTGCTTCACAGATGAAATCTACACCTGGTACAGAGGTCCAGTCAACAACTCATGCCTAGGGAGCTCAGAGGCTCAAGGCATAATAACTACTACTGTTTAATTCAACTGTCATAGTACCAAATTATCTTCTAAATATCTGTGTATTTACTCAGAGACAAAAGTTACTTTCATCCTTAACTAGAGAAGTCATTCTCGAAGTGAACAGTGGTAAATGCAAAGACATATGGATCCCCAATGTACTGAGGATAAAACATTGAGGGCCCAGCCTTAAAGAAGGACCACCCCTCCTCAAAGGCTCAGGGAGCATTGCAGAAGAGGGGTCAGGAAGAAGTTAAGAGCCACAAGACAGGCAGCGTGGGTGGGGGAATGATGCCCTGCCTCCCTACCCCGGCTACCCATCAACACCTGAGGCAGGTGAGAGAGCTGGTTCTCTGGTCCCAAAAGTGGGAGAGCCATCCCTGACCCCAACCAGCTACAACACTCAGGAGAGCAGGCCATGCACCTTGCCAGGGCAGCACAATAGAGCCAACTTTGTTAGTGCAGGCATGGGTGAGCTAGCCCCAAAATTGTGAGATTGGAAGAGCTGTCCCCATTACCCATCTGTCTTGTGGCAGCATGGGCAGGGGAGAGTTGCCTCCCCCAACACCTGGGGCATATGGGAGAGCTGGCCCTGTGGTCATAAGAGCAGGAGAGCCAACCCTGTTAGAACAGGTGTGGATGAGCCAGTCCCAAAGTTGTAAGCATGGGAGAGCTGTTCCTATTTCTCATCCAGCAGACCAACCCTCTAGCTGCCCAGGCTCAGACCCAGGGTTGCAACTTGGCCCGTCCCAACATCCACCCCATCTATGATCTGCTGGAGCATGCGAAGGGACCTGACCCACAGACACAAAGCTGTAGGATCTCCACAATACAGGGTAACAACAGAATATCCAAGAAGAGTCCTAGTGATGCCCAGCATCCATAGTGCAATAGAAACCAGAGGCCTCGAACCAGACCAGTGACTCTTTGCAATGAGTACTTATAAGTAAAGATATATGTACAAAAGGGGTTTATGGTGTGACTCCCTGTGTCACACTGCAGCTTCCATGACAAGATTTTTAATTTTTCCCTTTTTTAATTTTTTTCCCTTTTTCTCTTAAATTTTGTTTTATTTTAGGGGGGTGGTGCAGGGGCAAAGGGCAGATGGGAAGAGACAGGGAAATGAATGAGATCAAGATACATGATGTAAAAGACACATAGAATAAATAAAAAGAAAAAATACAATAAGTTAAAAGAGAGGGAGAGAGAGAGAGACAGGACAGAAGAGAAGGGCTGTGAAATGCCATCTAGATAGTACAGTCACTATGATCATGAACTCACACAGTGGTGGCTACTTACTATGGACCTGTATAAGACTGGCCCTGTCTTATCATAAATGAAGAGCTCATTAGGTCATACCCCTTACTGCTGAACTATTTGTTGTTGATAGATTCTGGGAGGAGGGGAGTCTTTGTCTTCATTTGTACACCCAGGTGAGTCTACCAGGCTCCAATAGATAGCTCCAAACCCATGGTCATCCAGATGCCCTGGTCAAGTTCAGTGAGTTACAGACTAAAAAACAAGCAACAACAAAAACAAAAACCAAACAAACCAAAAACAGGAATTTAAGAAAGATTCACAGGGAATGGGAAGTAGACAGGTATGGGAAGGGGTTAAGAGGGGATAGAGGGGTGAGAGTAATCACTACATACATGAAATAGTCACAGAAACAAACTAATTAGTAAAAAGAGAAATCATTTTAAAAGAATATGAATTATTAAAAATACTATACTCAAAACGGTGATAAAATAGGAGAATGGTATTCAACAGGATATTGGAAAGTTAAAGAAATCAAGAATATGCATTTATAAACCCCACATGTGGATTATAGACCAGAAGGAAAGAAATCATGTTACTAACAGTGTGGAAAAGTCCCGAACAATCCCACTGAATACACAGAAAAATGACAAAGGGATCAAAACCACTAAAGAGAAGCTTGCTGATATGAAGATAACTTATGAATCTACAACAAAGAACAAAATAGAGTTAAGGATAGAGCTCAATGATACAAGCATGTGTCTAGTCCTCAGCATCAGAAAATAAAAGGGGAGGGAGGGAGGAAAGGGGGGAGAAAGGAAAAAAGAAAGTAGTGGAAGGGGGCCAAACAAAACAAAAAACGTTATTCATAAATATATAAAGAAAAAAAAACCTGGGATGAAAAAAAAATAGTTAAAATCTGGAAAGATGGTTAAGCAGTTAAGAGGACTGGCTGCTCTTCCAGAAGGCCTGGGTTTAATTCCTGGAACCCATACAGAGGCCACAACCCTCTGTAATTCCAGTTTCAGATCTGATGCTCTTCTGACCAGGCATTTATCAGTACACAAAAATAAAAAGAATAAATCTTAAAAAAAAAAAAAAGAAAAGAAAAGAAATGGGCTTTTGTTTTGTTTTGGGACAGGGTCTCTCTATGTAGTTCTTGCTGTCCTCTAACTCACTCCGTAGACCAGGCTGCTTTCAGAGATACTCCTGCTTCCTCTGGGATTAAAGGCATGCACCACCATACTCCTCTATTTTTAAAGATAGATTAAGATCATTACTCTTTCCTCATTACATGGTTGACAGAATATATCACTGAAACTGCCTACAGTCCTGTTTCCTTGAGAATTTGAATTTAGCATCTTCAGTAGACACAGGAAAAATCAGATTTTTCTTTGTATCAGTACTGATATATTGAGGTTTGTCAAGAAATATTCCATTTAATTGAAGTTGTTCAATATATTAAGAAAAAATGGTTGGAATTTTAAAAAGAAATCTATTACGCTGCCAAAAACAAACAAACAAAATCTCAACTTAAAATTTCTAATATGGAGACATCCAAATAACTTTACTATTCTTAAAAGATATATAAATACCCTATTTTTCTACTGAGTTTCTCATTTATAAGACCTGAAAATATGGAGGAAATAAAAAATAAATGGCAATATTTTGAGGTACTCTGCTCATGGGTAACACATTTACTAAACTTTTTCCCTATCTAAAAAAAAGAAAGTTTTCATGA